ATATATATATATATCTAAAGATATATTTTTGTGTGTGTTTTTGTGTTTGCAGCTGCTTTACCTTCGCTCCAGTTTTTACAAGTCAGTGTGGATGATGTATGTTGATTGTGGTAAAGGAAAATGTTCTTGTGCCTTACTACCATTTACAATCCTTGATTTATTTTAAACCCGGACTGTCGAAATTACAAATGGAAGCTGATTGGTCACTCTGGGCAACAGGAACCTTTTCTAATTTCAGCTCCTGTGTGTTGTATGGAGCCACCAACTAGGTTCAGTCTATGGTTCTTCTGTATGATTGTTTAGTAAGGGTGACAGCCAATTGGCTGCAGTCACTCTTCGTTTGAAAATCTTGCGACCGGCTCCTTCGACTTTCTAACCGAAGGATGCCGGATGGAAGACTGCCGACAGGGCCACCCACTGAACGCATTTTGGCCGGTTCCTCAAGAAGCAGCTGAAATTCACACAGTGTATGGCCAGCTTTAGGAATAGGTATCCTAGATAGGAATGTTCATTTCTGTCTAGGGTACTAATAATAAGTGGTCTCACTTATGATACCCTTCACGTTCCCTGGCAATCGGCCCGCTCCTCGTCTCTCCCACGGGTGGGCCCTCACCGCCCTCCCTTACAATGCAGGACTGCCGGTCCTGCATTGTAACTGATGATGTTGGAGCACCAGTGACTGACAAAGCGGAGAAGAGAGGTGGCTTCCGAGACTGGTCGCACAGAACTTGTGGATGTTTCTTGTAATGAGAGATAAGGTAAGTAAAAGTGCTTTTAAGTAGTACTCTTGGCACAGAATAGCATTTAACCCTTTGCAGTGCAGGGGAGCCCCATTACAAGTAGTCAATTTTCCCCGGAGCACAACTTAAATACATCCTATAATTTGAATTGATTTTTTCGCATTGTTGTGAATCATGACCCCAAATATTTCATTCAGGAGGGTTTGGAACATATTATTCTATCTAGCTTTTTAATGTGTATCATTCACTTGCGACACCCACTCTAGCCGCACAAGACGCTCGGTACTTTCAAAGAGCTAAAAGGTAAGATTGCTACCTGTTTTCTTCCAGAACGCCTTCCTTTTTACATTCCGCATCTCAGCCTTGTAAGAAGCACATTGTAACTCATGAATCACCAGCAGAAACATTCTCTTGGCGCTCCATTAGCCGCGGCGTTGCTCCATTATGTGCTGCATTGACAGAACTGCCTGTTTAGAAGCCTACAAAGAGTGTCGGAAAATTGCCGATCATTTAGTCCTGGGTTTTCTTTAGGTTTCTTCGAGGAGATTAACTGAAATGAAGCCTAAAAGTGTATCTTAGTAGGTGGGGGATTGTTTTCTGAGCGATGGAGCGATTCCGAGAAATGGGAAAGGGCAAAGTAAATAGCTTCTTTTTTTTTCCTTTTTTAATATATACAACATTATATTACTTTTTTTTTTTCAAGTACATCTAACTCTTCAAAGGGTAATTTACATCAAGAGGCAACCATTTACAGGATTATAGCTGTCTCAGTGGGTTGTACAAGGAAAGAAAACAACACAGATGTAGAAAATCAGTTATATGTGATACACGTATGTCAACTTAAAGCTGAACTGCAGGCAGATAATAAAGATCCATATTAATGAAGCTTTGTATTCATTTTAATAATGAATCCAGATGAAATAAATATATATTGCCCTGCTAAGTATTTTATTATTTTTTTGCCCAAGCACTCACTGTCATCATGTTTGCATACAGTTGGCTCCAACTCTCTCAGCTCTGCTTTCCCAAACTTCCTGTCTAGTACAAGATCACAAGACACAGAGCAGTCTCCAGCAGCTGTCCATCTACTAGCTTAGAGAAGAGAGCAAAGAGGAGTGGGAACCCGGGGAGTGTCTTGCCTTGCTGTGCCTGTGTGTTTATGGAGTAATTCCAAAAGATGTCACCAGCACTCCAAAAGTAGATTCAATATATTTTAATGACAACGGTCATTCAAAATCACAAGTACTTCTGAGCCTGATGACGGGGACCCAACGTGACCCCGAAAGTACTTGTGATTTTGAATGACCGTTGTCATTAAAATATATTGAATCTACTTTTGGAGTGCTGGTGACATCTTTTGGAATTACTACTTGACTACATGGTGCCTCCGTGGTCGCTACAAGCACCCTATTACAGACATCATCTCCTAGGAGATCCGGTAAGGAGTGCAGGAAGATACACACAATTTTGTGTGTTTATGGAGACACACCCCACCTATTAGCACACACAAGGGTAGCTCTATACTGTAGGACCCCGCATGGGAAAGGAGACACCCTAAAACAGGATAACAGGGTCAGTGTGAGTAAGGAGGAGTGGGAAGGAGGGGAGTGTCTTGCCTTGCTGTGTGTTTGTGGAGACACACACACAGCTCACTAGCACATGCAAGGGTGGCTCCATAGGACCTGGCAAGGAGAAGGAGCCACCCTAAGGGTCAGTTCACACCAATTGCAGTGCGTTCCAGAGCAGTAGCTACTGGAACACACAGCAATAACACACTAAACTCCCCCCTTCGTATCGGGGCGGGAGGGGGCGTGGCGGTGCATTGAAGTCAATGGCACGGCAGCCACACCCCTGCATTGCGATTGTATGTGTGGCAAAAAATTGCCTGCATTCCAGTCCAGTGTGAACGCAAAAAAAATGCTGCATGCTCTATTGTTTGAGTTCACACTGGACCGAAACGCAGGCAATTTGCATTGTACTTCTCTCAGTTCTTCACTCAAGAGCCCTCAGTCCTGGTAAAAGCAGTGGGCTGGCTCTTGGGAGGAGTTATGCAAATATAAAAATGCCTCAATGGGTTGATGTCATTTTGGAGGAGTGGGCGTACCTAGGATATATTTTCTTGCAGACCATCTTAGGTAACATACACAAGATGTTGAGCCTTCATAATTTATAGAACTGAAATCCAATAAATGAAAGGGTCAGGCCAGGGACAGTCAGGCTGTGGAGGGAAGGGCTAGATTAGGGGTAGGCAACCTCAGCACTCCAGCTGTTGTAGAACTTAAAGTCTCATGAGGTGCTGCAAGACCCACAGGCATGACTCTCAGAGGCAGAGTCATAATGGATTAATCGTTTCACTACAGCTGGAGTGCAGAGGTTGCCCACCCCTGGGCCCCATCATACTGGACGTCCTCCAGCCAGGAAATGAGGTGGGATCTATCTGACCTGCTGCAGCTTCTAATGCACCTTGTGAGAAGCTCACAGTGTGCAGTGAATTCAGTGTAAGCAATTCCAGACCAGAAGAGGAGCCGGTACAACTGTGCAAGACTGCAGGGAAGGTCGGAGTTCAGCTAAATGCACCTGTTACTTTGCCCTGTATTGGTTCACTTTAAGTCTTATTGGTAATAATTTAGATGCTCTGATGCCATACTGTGTTTCCTTCTTTTAGGATATAGATGGATTGGAAGTAGTGGGACGAGGGCGGCCTTTTTCATCTGTTTCTGCAAAACACTTCCCATTAGTACATGAGCAACTTGAAGAAACTCTTACAGAAGACAAGGAGAACCTGTAAGTATGCATAAAGGTCATGTTATATTGCTTTTATAGTAAAATCGAACTGCTTTAGATATTGTTATACTGCCATGTTTGACTTTCCCTGAGATGCCATCTTTTCTTTTAGGGATCCTCTCCAAGATTACCCTGATGTAGTGGAAGATTTTGTCCTGGGCCCGTCATTGCTTTTCTGTGGGCAACCAGCAGCCTGGGTAGAAGATCCCATAGTGTCTCATAGGGTAACAAATGCACAAATATATTTCTTCTCAGAATTGACACTGATTTCCCTGAAACTACCCCTTATAATAAAGGAAGAGATAAAGCCAAACTTTTCAATTTAGTTTTGAATAAAGTAGACCAGACCTGGGCATTTTATGGCCCACGGGCCACACCTGGCCCTTTGGCTGTCCCTGTGCAGGTCACAGTCTGGACATGGACTGATTGCTGACCTGCGCTCGGTTATGGCTGGCTGACAGTGGATGCGCTGGCCTTCAAGGCTGGTGCATCCACTGCAAGCCATAGCCCAGTGCAGGCCCCCTCCTATTCAGTCGTTGGTTGCTAAGACTGCTGGCGTCCTAGCAACTAATGAAGTCAGGTGTCCACCTCCACTGCAGTCATTAGTTGCTAGGACAGCCGGACAGTCCTAGCAACTAGTGACGTCAAATGTTTTCCCCGCCCCCAGCATTACAGGAGGATGGAAGAGTATCGTCCTTGGTCCTCTCCTGCAGCCTGCTCCACGTCACAGCTCTCTAATGGGGACAATCAATCTAAGGGGACACTCTAATGTGGACAACTAATTATTAGTTGTCCTCATACGAGTGTCTCCTTACCTTAGTTGCCCCCATCAGAGTGCCCTCTTACATTATTTATGAAGGTGGGGGTCACTCTGATTAGAACAACCAATGTAAGGGGGGCATTCTGGTGGGGCCCCCTACATTAGTTGCCCCCTATAAGATTTTTGTTATTAGTTTACATGTGTGCCTGTGCACCTTTTACAGTATTGTTTTGGCCCTCCATAACAGTCCCAGGTTCTCATGTGGCCCCTTGAGAAAATTAGTTGCCCACCCCTGGAGTAGGCAATAATTAAAACTCATGACATGTTTTTCATTGCTGTCTGTGTACTCTTTGGGAGTTTTCCCTTCACTAGTCTCTCCAAAATGAGGGGAAATAGACAGTTGCCATTCGAACAAATGTTCCTGTTTTGAAGCGACAAAGGGAGAGAGGATGAATCTCCCCATTGAGGACACAGTAAAAACATGGAACGCGTATATCGGAGGTGCTGGATTTGACTTATCAGTAGTTCACGGTGGAAGAAAGTCAGTTGAGTTCATATAGAGTGCATGGAGTAGCTCCGGTGAAGCTGCCCCCAGCAAAAAGAGGGTGCCCCTTACCTAGGGTAGCTGAAGTTTAAAGAAGTATTTTAACTTCAAAAAGTAAAATGTACTCTTCCCAATACTTAGAGCCAGCGTGTGGCACTGCAGGTGTCAAATGTTGGCTCTGTAGATCGAGAGCTGAGCGATCACAAGCCGCTGATCACTCAACTCTAGGTCTTGTCCTGGCAGGGATTCCTCCGTCACTTCTCTGTTCCTCCAGCGCTCATTGGAGGGACAGACGTGGGGGGGGCACAGCTGGCTCTATGGAGGCAGAGCCAGCTGTTAAACAGGCAGCCTTGTGGACACCAACAATTATGTAAGTTTGGCAGACCAGTGTTCCACGAGTCCAACATTTTGTAATAGTGTTTGCTCATAACAAGAAAACATGGAACAGCCAACGCATTTCGGAGGTTTAGACACTGCGTCTTCATCAGAGCTTATAAATGATCTGGTATGCGACCTTCTAATACCAATACCAATACCATACCAATGAAGGTCTTTATTATACTTATACAATTACTAATAGCACCCTACTGGGTCTAGTCACAGTGTTTATAAGCCCTGATGAAGGGGGAGTGTCTAAGCCTCCAAAACACATTGGATGTTACATATTGTCTTGTTACAAGCTAAAACTCATATAACAAAATGTTGGACCCTTAGATACAGATGGTCTGGTGCTGTCTTTAGCCTTTTTACAGCCATAAAATAAAACTGACAGGGGTTCTGAACTAAAAAAACTTGTCATGAGATGAATACTCATGAAGGGGTGATATTGCTGACCTCCTGAAAATGATAGCTGCCTGGCTGTCAACTGTTGAACAATGGTATCGCTACGTGTGTGGCCAGCATTAGGCCAAGGATGTTATTTTATATATCCTGGTTTATAGCAAACCTGTCAAGAGATACCTATGGGAACTGACCTTTTTGTGAATTGCATGGCTGTTATTGGTTTTAATACTTTCTGAGTCTGAACAAGTATACAGACCAGGAAAGTCGGATAAATGTGAGAAGTCCTTATTTGCTTGCCTGTTCTGGGTCAGTGATTCAAAGTAGGATGGATATCACAGCCAGTCGGCTATCGTATTTAGAAGGAGAGCTCAGCAATGGCAGCCTCCTTGGTGTATTTTAGTGATCTCACTAGTAGTAAGGAGCTGATAGGTCCATAATAGTGGTATCTGCCACACCTTTCACTCCCGTCCATCTGAGGCTTCCATTTTTTTTATACCTGATCTACCTCTAGGACAAAGCCGGCATCTCTACACGTATCACCTTCGAAGCTCTAGCTGGGGAGAAAGCCTCATCGGTAATAGAAGTGGTCAACAACGGAAGTGCGGCTGTTTGGTACGAGTGGAGGCGTCTGCCCAACACCACTAACCTGAAGGAATGTCGCAATGAGTCGCGAGTACAACGTTTCTATTTCAACACAAATGCTGGTAAGGTGACACAGACAGCTTGTCATGCTAGTACAGCAGAAGTGAAGCAGAAATGAATGGGTCACAAATGATATTTCGGTTTTGGGAGTACGCCACGGGTCACTTCCCAGCCTCCCATATCTCTCAGGGACTCCGGCAGCAAGATCTCAGTTTCTGATTGCCCAGCTGCAGCTGTCATAAAGAAGCACTGTAGAAATTGGTGTTAGATTCTGGTTCTGTTAAGCTCGGTATATACACGCAGTTGCGTAACAACCAGATGTTTATATAATATGGGGGGGGGGGGCAAAAAAAAATGTTCTTCCCCGGGCGCCCATAACTCTGGTTACGCCACTGTATACACGTATATATTTTCTTTGTTCAACCTGCGGACTGAACAAAGAAAATTGAACAGATTCCTCCGTCCACACTGTTCAGCGTGGTTAGATGAATCCTCCGCTGTTTGCATTGTATTCTGCTGACCGCTGTCAGAATACCGGAACTGAGCTTGCGGATGAATGAATGAATTGGGAAAGCTAGTCAGCTGACCAGTCAAACGCTTTAAAGAAAAATACAGCAAGTCCGGTTGCCTTGATTTATTTCTTACAGATATACTGTATTTTGCGCTCCATAAGGCGCACCTGACCATAGGACGCAGGCAGGTTCTGTGACAGTTTCTGGGACAGAAGCTGTTACAGAAGCTGCAGTTAGTGACCGCTGAGACAGGTGGCGCTGGGACTACAGCGCCACGGTCTCAGTGTTCACACAGAGAACTGGCATTCTTTGTCTGCTCTAGGGGGCTCCATGGTGAGCTCCTATCCCGTGGTCACCGGTCCCCCAGAGGAGCGGCGGACTCGATCGCCGCCGCTCGGTTTTAATACAAGTGATCTGAATAGATCACTTGTATTAAGCGAGCAGCGACTCCCACTATACATTTAGCTCTGCTTTAGTAGAGCTAAATGTACAGAAAACTAAATGTAGAGCTAAATGTACAGAAAACTACTCGCCCGGCGCCCGAAACTGCATGTTCCGGGCGTCGGGCAATAGGGATTCGCTCCATAAGACGCACACACATTTTCCCCCGCCTTTTGTGGGGAAAAAAGTGCGTCTTATGGAGCGAAAAATACGGTAAGTAATTCAGCAAGCTAAATCTTATCCAATTTGGGTTTATTTTTTATTTATTTATTACAGGTATTTATATAGCACCGACACTTTACGCAGCACTTTACATAGTGTACAATCACATCAGTCCCTGCCTTCAAGGAACTTACAATCTAAGGTCCCTATCTCACATGCATATATACAAGGGCCAATTTAGAGAGGAGCCAATTAACCTTCTAGCATGTTTTTGGAGTGTGGGAGAAAACCAGAGTACCCGGAGGAAACTCACGAAAGCACAAGAAGAACATGCAAACTCCATGCAGATAGTGACCTGGCAGTGATTCGAACCAGGGACCCTCAGTGCAGCAAGGCGGTTTAGATCTACTTTACGGGATACTTTATACTGCTGTCGGTTCCACCATTGAAGACTTTCCCTTACTTTCTGTCCAACAAAACAGGAAGTGAAGGGAAATCAAATCACAAATCTAAAAAAAAGGGGATTAGCTGGAGTTACAATGTAAAAATATTCAGAGACATTGTATATTGTAGTCCTGAACATAATATAGAAACTATATGGATTTAGACAAATCATATTCTAATTTACATTTAGCAATCCTTCAAGTAATTTTTGAATTGTCTGATTTCCAGGCGTGATCCTGCCAGGAGAGACGCAGACCTTCCCTTTCCATTTCAAGTCTCCGACCGCAGGGATCTTTGGGGAGAGCTGGGAGTTCTGCACACACCCGGTGTTATTGGCTGGTGCTCTGATACAAGTGTCCCTATGGGGAATCTCTCTGTATGAAGACAAGACGGCCCTGATGAGGGAGGAGCTACAGGTAAGAAGCTTCATTTACCATATCTACGTACTTCCACATGTGAGGATTGATATTCACAGCTGTATTACAGTGGACCTTTTAGTAAATTCACAGGTCTACATGAATACATTCCTGTTATGTCCCAGTATAAAGCAACAGTATACTGTGTTAAAAAAAAAACAGTTGAGTCAGTGACTTTGCATAGGCTGAGATGGTGTTATCAGTCTACTGCAGACAGGAGAAAGCATTTTCTTAGTGTCCTCTCCTCCAGGGATCAGACTATAACAGTCTTTTGGTCTCTCCTAATTTTAGTTCCTTTTTAAAGCTCTGGGATTTAAAAAAATACCCTTGCAGTCCTCGCCTGTCATCACATCAAGGGTTAAATGGTTGTTCAGTCTAGGAGTAGAGGAATAAGGTGCCATACTATCCTTATTCTTCGCTCTGGGGCTCTCCTATTTTCCCTAATTCTCTGGGTTGCGGACTGACTCTTGCCATTCTCAGTGTAGGCCTTTCGATCTTGATTCGGTCAACGTGCAACCGCCAGCTGGAGCACCAAAGAGTATAAGCTTCAGGGGACCAGTTGCACAGCATGGAGGAAACTTGCCAAAGTGAGGAATAAGGTGAGTATTATGTGTTATTCCTCTATACTTAACGAGCATTTAACTGTTACAGTGTAGGGGAGAGCCAGCTGTCACTCACGCAGCTGGGCGGATCTCGACATCGATGTCGGGATCCGCTCCGGCTGCGGCGTCTCAGTATACTGCGAGCTGTAGCTCGCGGTATACTGAGCTTACGGTAACGGGAGGACGCTAGTTTGTGTCCTCCCGTTACCCTAAGGAGAACTATGGGGAAAAGCCCTGACCCCATAGTTCTCCTTTAATGAACTACTCCCTCTACCCACATGAGCGCGTTTGGACCTGGAGATTGGCCACTCAGGCCTGAGCACTGCATCTTGGGAAGAAGAAGAAAAGGTTACATGCTTCCTTATGCACTGGGTATCGCAGAGGGTTCTGATAGAGAACAAATGTGATGGGGGAGCATGGCTGAGGTGAGTGGCAGTTAGGGGACCTTACTTTTCGGTGACAATTCCTTTGCGTTGGGAGATTTCCTGTAACTTCCTGCTGCGTCTTCAGGAAAGGTCATGAAGGGATATCTCCTCAACTGAAATTTCCCTGCATTGAGGAGATATGCCTTGACTTCCTGTCCTGGAGATGCAGCAAGTTAGAGGAACACAAAGAGCAAAATTAGCCTGACAGCAGTTTTAGCCCTTCCCTACGGTTTTCAAAACTAAAAAAAAATGGCTATACATACACTTTAAACTTAATGAGACACTAAACACAGGAATTAAATCTTAAATATACATTCAAGGACCCTAACTATTAACAAAAATGCATCTTATTTGTGTATCACTCAGCTGTAGATCCTCCAATCATCTCTCAATTGGTGCTGACACTGTCCTACCTTCTGGAGGGTGACTACTTGTGTTCTCCATAGTCCCTGTGTGTGTTGTAAAGTAGTCACCTCTCCAAGTTCGCTCCTGTGATGGACTACAATCTCACATTTAGTTTACTCATTTCTATTGTGCTTGTAGTCCATCACGGGAGCGAGCTTGGATCGGTGACTACTTTACAACACACACAGGGACCATGGGGAACAAAAGTAGCCACCCTCCACAAGGAAGGAGGATCTACATCCGAGTGATACACAAATAAGATACATTTATGCTAATACTTAAGGTACTTGAATGCATTTTTAGGATGTAATTCCTGAGTTTATTGTCATTTTAAAGTTAAATTCCAGACAAATGTCTAAATACACAGCTGAAATACATATACAGATCTTATGGCAAGTTGCTATAGTTGCTGATTTTGTTTTTTCTTAAGGGAATGTATATAGGAGTGCAACATCAATTATCTGTATTTTTCCTTATTTGTTTTGTGGCTTCTATCACTGTAGAGGGAGATGAAGTCACAGGAGGCCAAATATATTGCTCAGAAGATATTACAGGAGATTATGAATGGCGTGCGTAGCCTAGAACGTCCTCAGTCACCTCCCACATGTGTAACTGAAGAAGAAATGTTCCACCTAATGAACCCAGAGGTATTTCATCTACAGTGTGACACGGCAATCTATAATACTGATTTAATTGACTATTAAGCGTAACTGTCCGAGTTCACTCCCTACTCGCATTGCTTGCCATGTGATGGCAGCTGTATTTAAAACGCGCCATTAGATGGCAATCTTGTACCTTTTGCATTTGAATGAAAGGGCTAAAAAATACTTTGTTTACAATTTAGAGCCGGCTTCTCTCATTTAAAAGACCAGAAGCCCCTACTTGTAGCAGATTTTATATAAAGGAGCTACAAATACAGTTACAAAAAGTATCTAAAAATTTCAAGATCTCACAGAACCAAAAAAATCTGAGATAAAGTTCTGACATCACCTCTGCCTTAACAATTAGCGCAATATGTTTAAGAGATTATCAGCTAAAGGTTACTGGGTTAGCTGTCCTCATATAAAACATTCCTGAACTGACGGTTAAGAATAATCGGTGCAGTGACAGGCAGGGCCGGATTCCCGACAAGGCCACCGAGGCCCGGCATTGGGGCGGCAGGGAGCAGAGGGGCGGCACAGGTTTGAAGTCTCCCGTCCAGTCGGTAATTTATTTTCTACATTTAGCCATGCTTTGCATAATGAGGGCTAAATGTAGAATGGGGGAAACAACTTGCTTCGTTACAAGTGATCTCGGCGATGTCGCCTATATCACTTGTAATCAGACTGCAGGCTGTCCGTCCTCCCCCCGCAACCCCCCTCGCAGCTACCTCTCTGCATGCTGCTCCGTCTCCGTGCCGCTCCGTGTACACAGTGAGAGGGGAGAGCGGGGCCCGCTGCAGTCTTCCCCTCACCTGTCACAGGAGTTCCAGCACAGTGCTGTGCTAGAACTCCTGTATTGGAGGTGACAGGGTCAATAAAGAGAACCTGTCACCTCCAAATGCTATCACACAGGGGCTTGTTATCTCCTGTGTGATAGCAATAAAGTTAAGTGAAAAAAATTGATAAAAAAATAAATTACATAAATAAAAAAAGTAAAAAATAATAAGTAATAATAATTAAATTAAAAAATAAAGTAAAACATAAATAAATAAAAAGTACAAAATATAAAAAAAGAAAATAATTATAAATA